ATCGTCGTATTGGGTATCTTCTAGCGTATAGTGAATCTTCACTATACGCTTCATGACGGTTACGGATGCGCCTGTCGCAAGACGTACCGTCATCCTCGTAGGAGGTGTGTCACATTCACTGAATTTAAAGTGACCATCTTCTAGCGATTGGCGTCGCACAAAATTGTTGGACGCCCCACAATCGACTAGAGCTCGAAGGGACAACTTATTCGTCACTTCGAGTTTCAAGGTAATGAGTGAGATCTCATTACCTAGAGCAGCAACGCACAATGTCTGTGTGTTGGGAGCAACCTTCATCAAGAGGCCTACAAATTCTCTTGACGTTGCTGGATCAGTAGGGTGCTCCGCACCTACTGATCCTGTCCGTTTTTTGACGGTCCATCCCGTTGTTGCGTCTTTGCACCAACTGCGGACCCTCGTCCCTGCCCCTTTCTCATGGGTGGACGGTCACTACGCCCAGTGTCGCGAGACACTGGACGAGGGGCACTACACTCGTAAGCGTAGTGTCCTGTCTTTTGACATCTGTTGCATCTCTGCAACTTCTTGTAGCCTGTAGAGCGAGCCTTCTCGCTCTCTACATAACAGAGTTCCATCGGCTCTGGACCTCCGTTGTCATATCGTCTCGGTTGACGATATGATGTCGAGCTGGCGCGAGCCTGTCTCAGACTGAAGTCTTCCTGCTCCGCAATTGAAATGGCTTGTTCTAGTGAATCTAGTTCAAGCCGGAACAGGTGAGTCTTGACGGGACCATCCGCAAGACCCTGCATGAACACCGAAACCAACGTGTGTTCATCCACCGGATTGGAACTTATACAACTCGTGAGATGTCGTATATGTTGAGCGTAAGCGTGCACATCACGCTTACCCTGCTTGAGCTTCAAGAGTTCGGTTCGAGCTCTGAACTCAGCTCTAGGCGGTTCAAACGTTTGTCTGAGCCGCGACTTGAAGACTTCCAACGACCCAAACGCATATGGGTCGTGCAGCTTGAGCCCCAGTGCCCAAGTCTTGGCACGTCCTGCCAGATTTGACTGGGCAAATGCAACTTGCATATCCCCGTCGTCGATGCGACGCGCCCTTATGGCGTCATCCAATTCGACGAACCATCTCAAGAGGGAGTCTTCTTCGACCCCCCTATACTTTGAGATGTCAATCTTCAAAGTCTCGGGCCGACGCGAGTGCATCGACCCGCCAGCAGCAGCCTGCTGCTGTCTCAACAGTTCAAACTGTTGAGCACCTTGTTCTCTCAACAACTCTGCTTGTTGAGAACCTTGTTGGTGAAGCAAGGCTACTTTCTCGCGTTCTGCGTCAAGTTCATTTTGAATGAACTTGGCGATAGTAGCATGTTGGGCATCTCTATTGAGAGCCTCTAGCATGACGCTAACAGCATGGATGCCCATGGTCGAACCCATTCGTTCAACCGCATCCCATTCGACATCGCTCAAATGGGAGTAGCCGTCACGCGTAGCGTGAAAGCTTTGGTCATCTTCATCATCCAACATATTCATGTTGGATGTGAACGCGGTCCTTGGACGGACTACGAAGTGCTACCAGGTGTAACGGGGCACCCTGAAGCTTGTACTGGTGACAGTACAAGCTACTTATTCTGATGACAGAATAAGGCGGTGCCTCGTAACTTCACGTACACTCGTACGTGCAGAGGAAGACGGTAAGAAGAAGCGAGTACTCGGTTAGAGTAAAAAGTAGAACTGTATTTATAATAGTTAATGTCTGCAATAAATCACTATTTATCTTCATCTAACTATGTCTAAATACAAATGTGTAAATCAGTTATCTGCTCACCACTCATTGCGTGCGTCTGTCGTGGCGCGTCTTCGTTGGTTGATATAATGGCCTATATCAACCAATTAGGAACTACTTGGAAGTGCTACAGAATATTGTCCTTATGACAATATTCTGAGAATATAACTCTTATAGTTATATTCTATTAACAATTTCTTATAAATTGTTATGTAACGATTCACCCCGTTACACTATAAAGAAATTGGATGGTTCACTTCCACACACGTAGTCGGCGAAAACGACTGTGTAGATGACAGATGTATACTACCGGTGTAGCGGAGCTACACAGCTCCAAAAGTCAGAGGAAGACTTAACGCTCCGTGAGCAAGTTAGTTCTAAAGAACTAAACTCAATGAGTCAACAAGCGTAAACCTTATGTTCCTTGTTCCAGGGGACCAAACGATTCAGTGAATCGACAGCACTTAGTGCTGAAGAGTAACTAGCTACCTCAAGGAGGTGTTGCTAACTCTCAGTGATCAGTGATCAACGACCAAAGACGCCTCGCAAGACACGTGTCTTTAAGATCAAAAGGGGAACTGAATTTTATTTACATTTAAACCTATAGGATACCTTAATCCTACTATTACCTAATCTAGACACTTATGTCCTAAGTTAGTACAACTAAGATCTCTTCTATTTAGTGGCTTGCACCAGTCAGCCCCCGTAAACCGACTAGATATCCTATATCTCTTTCAGTGGGATATCCGTGTGTCTAAGACACAGGGTACCAGATATCCAACTACGTGTAACCCCTTCACATCGGGGCATGCCTTGCTCTTCTTCGCTCTACTCTTACCAATTTGAAATAATTCCAACAACTTCAAAGCATTGAACTCTTCCAGGCTCCACAGTGTGCACTGCACCGCTTTCTACAACAGCATAATCCAGAGTATCCAGCAAACATACGCCACATCGATACGCAGGTCATCCTGTGGGTTACCCAATAGCACTGGATCTTCCACAACGCAATCAATCGATCGAGCGGGACCTGCTACAGTATGCAAGACCTGGTCGAGCAGTCGTCATCCATGCTGACTGCTCGATATAAAAAAAGGCATCGTGCAGTATTATGATCGTACGGGATGCGCACTGATCGCATATCGCAATGGATATACCCCGCGATGGGCCGTGCATGACCAATGCCACGTCGCACTCGCACAACGAAGACAGAGGGCGGGTCGGAAACCTTGTCGGCACCATTTTACCAGCGCAATACCTAGCGCGAGTAACTTCTTACCAGAAGATGAACGAAGGCCTAGAACCAGTCTCTTGCTGTCACAATGTCGATAATTATTTGCCATCCTTCTCCTTCCAATTCAGAGACGATGGAGCTATAAATACTGAACCAGGAGCGCGCAAGGTCGAAGCAGAGGCACCAGTGGGTCGGTCATCCACCCACCCACTCGCTCCCTCTCTTTCTCGACTCGCGTCTCTGTCCATAAATCATCCTCTTCCCACATACTGCACTACACCAACTACTCTACGCTAGTCCACCACCTTACTCTCTCCACTGCACGCTACAACCGCAGCAGCCCCAGGGGTGGCCTGACCTAATACAGCAGCACCTTCTCCCTTGCAGATCCAAAGCGACGACCTCCACACGAGAGCAAACGTGTGTCCTGCTGCAACGCACGCAGCGAAGCTTGCACGGCCTTCGCTTCGTCCAGTCGTGACGACGCACGCGCGTCCAGCGTGGCGCGCACGTCCTGACAAATGAGCGCCACATCGTCCATTGGAAACGCTCTCTCGACCACGAGGATGCGGACGCGCTCCATCGGGTCGAGCCACAGGTCGCTGCGACTGCGACGACTGCAGCCCCACGCCAGCGGCGTCTCCATGTCGGACTCCGAGTCGACGCTCTCGCAGTCGCTGTCCACCGCCTCGACGTCGTTGGTAGACGGTAAGACGAGCGAGCACCGGTGGCGGATGGGACGGCCAATGAGACCCACAGGCGGCCCGCCACTCTCTGGCACGACGCTGGCATTGTACCCGACGTGGAACTCCAGGACGCGCACGACGCCCCATCGCACGTGCTTTTTCCTCGTCTCGTTCGTTTCGACTGTGGACGTGTTCATCGAAGTCGGTCGATTGAGTGATCGATCAATTGAGAGATTGAGCGAGTGACGAATTGGTTGATTCCAGTCTCGCGTCTTGTCCCGAGATGGATCGAGTGGGTGCAAGCCGTGGGAGTCGAGCGCTCCAGCAGCAGCAGGTCACAGGGCAATACAAAGTGATAATGAGGGCGCAACTGGAACGCACTTCCAAGTCAAGGGTGTCAACTACTTGACTCCGGTCAGCAGGAGACGGGCCAGTAGTGATCAGACGGGACAGATGACTGACTACACAACCACCACCGACTTGGTTGCAGAGGTCGGTGGCGTCGAGTCGGTGGCACGTTCTATCCTCGAATCGGTGGCGCGAACGGCCGCAACCCCGACGGGCTTCAATAGCTGCCAACAGTCGAGCTGCGAATACTTGAAGGCAGTGCAGCAATCGCAACTATGGAGACTCTGATGCTATGACCACTTTTGTCTTTCTCTTCCCGAGTAGAGTACGTGGACGTCTCCATGAACGCCTGCATGGACGTTTTTTTTCTCGCTTGATACTTGATGCCAACAGCTGTAGTCACCGCTTTACATACCTACGTCAGCTGATTTCTTCCACCCTCTGCTCGCGGCTACGCGTGACAAGGCCCAGCTGAGTCAGTGCCACTTTGGCGTGCGTGCGACTTTTGGAGCACATGTGACTGCAGTCATTGGGATAGAGACTTCGAGCAGTAAAGTCTCGGAGCGAAGTCGAGCAACGTGTCAGCGTGCTATGTTTTCGTTTTGTGGCGGTAGCTGCTGCGCTAGCAAGCGATCCGTTCACCACTTCTTCGTCGAAACGCGTGCACTTTGGTGCGTGTCATGCCCGCAGCCTGTGGCAGCAGCCACTGACGTCCGACGGTTGAAGCGAGCTGCCGCCAGGACGATGCAGTCCCACAAGAGCCACCCGTCCAGTCTGACCTGTTGATCCTCGGCACTGGAATTCGGCAACGGTCCAACGCGCCGTTACGTCCGACGCAGTAGCGAACATCGTGGTGCCGTCTGCCGCTCGTAGCCGCTAACGATACCGCTGCAACGGTTCGATCAGAAGCGCGGGAAGTGCGTGCTGGCCGTTGCGATGACCAGAATAAAAGACTTGCAGTGACTTCCCGAAACATGGTCCTTGACCGGCGAACCTCGGAGTCGGATGACAATGAGACGGAGGTGGCGGTAGCAGAGCAGAAGGAACGAACCTGCTATCAACGATTGCTGTCTCAAAGTACCATTCTGACCAGCTGCCTCAAAGCTTCGATGAAACGCCCGCGTCAACTGTCGACTGCGAAGATCTCATGAACACGCGGTACTTGTGTGCCGCAGTCCTCAACACCTGAGGCCGCAGCGTGGTGACCCACTCGATGTGGTCGCACAGTTCCAGCTTCTTCTTACATCGTGTGCTTGGTCACGCAAAGCGCCACCAACTAGCCACCGACGGCACACACTTTTGTCCGACCAGCAGACTTCACCGTCTGGGTGTGCAGACGGGACATCGATCAAGCAGCTTGTCTGAACTGACGTGAGTGCGCTTCAAGTTGCCAGGGTCTTTGACGAGTCGCTCCAACGATTGACACGTGTATGACCACTCACCTACAGGCGTGCGATGCTTGATGGAAGTCACTGGATGCAGCAACCATTACTCGCTTTCATCCTGATAATCCACGCGGATCCTATTGTTTTGCTGTCGATGCATGAGCCTTTTCGAGCATAGCGAACGTTAGATGTCTTGATACTGAACTGACCGAGTCTTGTCGTCATATCGACCGAGCTCGTTCGTACTCCAGGTCGAACGTTTGTGGAAAACGAAAGCCTTGGCGATCGAGCGACAGATCACGGCGACGACAACTGGCCATTTTGTCAATGAAATAGACACGTGCTCTAGGTCGTATCTGCAGTCGTGACCAAATCTGTGCCAGTCTCGCTTATGCCATCAAGTCTCATGTATCCACATTTCACTTGGCTCAAAATGGCAATAACGATGATGTCCTTTGAGATGAATTATCGACACAAACATCGAGAATTGGCCTGTTGCCGAATGGATTCTGAGCAGCAACTGTGCTCCATAACACAGCAGCGCTCAGTCGACTACATGTTCAAGCACCTTCACATGGACACGTTGATAGACAGGATATCTTGAGCAGTGCGTGTCCGTACAACAAGGAAACTGACTGTTGCAGCTCTCGTGGGGTAGCGTGTATTTCAGGATACAGTCCATATTGACACCTAGTCGAGTTAGACAAGAATATCCAATACGATCAGTGCTGTTAACATGGCAGAGGCACCAGTCGAATCTCTATAAAGTGACTGCTCCCTGAGATGGTGATCGGGCCAGGTGTCGCAAAGTAGGATGACCGAAGTTGAAGTGTGTTTTTTTCATCTTGTTCACTGTCATTAGATCGTGCCGCGTGGAAATGTGCGCTTGTAGATCCGGCAAAATAAGCCAATTCAACTCCGACAGCACAAACGAGTTTGACCAACGTCACATCACTACAAAACGCTTTGACGAGCTATTCACGTGAGTACGCAGCTGAATGAGCGCAGCAATACCACCCCTTCGAGTAGAATACCATCCATCCGTCGCTTGTCACTGGTACGTAATAATGGTTGCTTGATCTAAAACAAGGATGGCTTACTTTGGTATTGAGAAGAGTAAGATGGTGAAAACGTTGTCACTGACACATCAAAAAAGGATGTAAAAGTCTATCGACGTAAATATACATCTTGCGACAAGGCTCGAGGAAGAGGCAGAAGACGGCGTCTTGCAGGGGAAGTGAAGGTCGCCTGTATCCAGTGTAAATGAAACGTGTGGGTCGTTCCGTTCTCAGCGTTTTTTGGGCTGACTTCTCCGCAAGCAGATACTTACCGCTGTCAAAGACCAAAAATATCTAGTGATCCTGCAAAGAACCGACGCAACAAAGAGGAACTGCCCACCTACACTTGGTTCAAACAGGATAACAGTTGCAGATAAGTCAACAGTAACGTTTTGTCAGCTGAGATGCGCCGTAGCGCAAGGTCATGAGAGATCTCTGCCGCTGATTCGATGTCATACGTATGAATGGACTTTGGGAGAGCGTATCAGCGTTACAACTCGTTCAGTACTTCAACCCTCTGTTTACAATCGAATATCCGCACAGTAGATGCACCCGGTCATTGCGTTATTGTTGGGTTTTGCGACGAGATGCGTTCGGCTTATCGATTTCACGCAAAACTCAATTTATGTTACGAGTCATGTTAGCATGGTTCTGGTTCGTTTAAAGAAAGGAATCGAGCAAGCTAGACGATTTCATGTTTCCGGGTCAATTACATTCTTTATCATGCCTTGCCATTCATCGACAGCTACAGCGCCTAACAGTTTCCCTTCGCCGTAATGATATTGATCTTTGGTGCCATAGATCAACAGCTACAGCGCCTAGCAGTTCCCCTTAGCCGTGGAATGCACCGAGTGCTCTATTTATCGAATAATCAGCACGATACTTGACACGGAAGGCTTTACCATCCGGGCCGAATTCGGCATTTGCAAATTTGCTTTTCCGACCGAACTCCCATTTTTTCAATTTCACTGCCTTAAATAGAGCAGCGATTCAGTTTTATGCGCATTATCCACAAGTGTGTTGGTCGACGCACTGATCATGTGGCTTTGGAGTGCAGACTTGTGAGGTTTAATGTTATCATGCGGCTTAGTTGTAGATCGAAACTTAGTACACACCGCAATTCATGAGCTACCACGTGCTTTGTGGGTGGCTGATGTGGCTTGCCTACAAGGCTAAGGAACCGTCGTTGCCTCATTTCATAAAAATAAGCTTGCGCGAACAGCCTAGAGTGTAGTGCAGCGTTGGCTACGAATAGTTTGGCCTGATCGATTCCACATATTACTGAATTACATACGAGTCGCCAGATGGACGGAAAGGTTCACGCAGGTCGATGAGATCATCACAAGGACGTAGAAATAGGTGTTGATCAAACTGTAAAACGGCAATTTTCTCATTTTAATTTTACTTACTCTGGATCGCCATTTCGACAAACTTCACAGGATCAAATAGTATATTGCTTCAGCGGCGTGTTTGTATTGTAATGCTGCGAGGCTTAATGACATTGTCAGAAGCTTGCTTACCATTTATTCTTTAGTCGGACGTGGTAGGATGGACGGATCAATGTTGTATTACGTTCCAAGATGCACCGTTTTGACTTATCTGGTGTGCTACCAGCTACAGCAATAGGCCGAGGTGGGGATTTGTCGTTCACGCTAATAAAAAAGGTTTACGTAATCTCTTCTAATTCATGCCAAAAGCTGGGTGTCATTATAGTGCAGAGCAGGACGTCGACTACGACGGAAAAAGCTGTTTTGCAGAGAACGTTTTCATTTAAAATGAAGTAGCGAAAATCAAGACTATTTAGATCCGCAATCTTTTTTTACTGAACCTGCACGGCCCGCAGCGGTTTGCAGCCACACGTCTCAAATAAACCTTTATCGCTTTAAATGATAATTATTGCCAGTTTTTTTTTAAGATGCAAATGTGTATATCATTCTATACTTATTTAAATTTGCAAAAGTGAAAATAAATTAAAAAAATTAATATAAAAACAAAAAGACTTTCAAATATTTATTTATTTCTCATAAAAATATCTTAATATCATATAAATTATTTAAATAAATATCAAATTATTTATTATCGATACAAGTAATTTCGAGCAGAGCTTTATTGGATATAAATGAAAAGAAAAACAACAAAAATATATGTTTATAATTATTCACCTTGTGTATTAGAAAAATCAATCAATTTAAATTAATTCTTATCAAAACAACTCACCAACTTATAAAAAAACTTGTAATTCTGATTAATAACGATCATGTTAAATTTACATCTCCAGAAAGCACAAAACAAAAAGAGAACCGCTGTTTGACGCTGCGTTCTTCACATGACATTTGTAAAATTTCGGGTGCCAACTGTGTTCGCGTTGTAGGCTATTTTTATCGGGACGCAGCATTACAAGATCAAATGTACTAGTCAGGATTCATCATATTTGCCGCAAAATGTTGTTATCAGTCGTAACACCGCTTTTCGTAGGTGCACGAATCGTGGGACTCATGGAAAGACAAATCAGATATGTACTGGAAACATCGCAATGGTCATTTTGTCTGCATCACATAACTAAGAACTGTGTGCTGTGCACGATAGCCGCTGATGCCGCTTGCCATGGTTTGTCACAAGTGTCGCGCAAGCAAATGCAACACAAAACCCCTTTTTCAATCCTGTAGCTGCTGATGTGGCGCTTTCAGCTCCCTGCGTAAGTAGTGGATCACACAAATCAATCCTGCACACAAGGAACAAAGTAACTAACTTGATCTGGATGCTACCGCAGGTATATCGCCTGCTTAAACGAGCAAGACTTTGTGTTAAAACCCGACACCATGTCTACTCTTTCTGATAAGCCGTTATGAATAGCAGTAACATTAGTTGCTTCGATGACGTAAGCCGTCTGGCCAGTAACCGCGTTAGGATGTTCTGATGACGTGTATTGCGTACGTGCGGCTAAAATGACATGGCAGTTTCACGGCAGAAATATGTATCATCTCGGGATGTTTGATGCGCAGGAGAATGTAGCGTATGTTTAGTATGAAATGATGTTTGCTGCCAGATTGGATCTTTGATGTAAACGATCATGTTGAAGTGCACTTCTTGCGAGGACGGTTCGCGTGGCACAGGACACGAAGCTATTTTGATTCTTGAACACACTTGCATCTTTGTTTTTTCTACACTGTCTCGCCAGCTCATACCAATTTGCATATTGGCACAAGTACAGCGAGGCATGTGCTATACACGAGTTTTCATGAATCATCAGCGTCTCCAGCAGAAGACATTTGACCGTAAACGATACGTTAAATGGGCGTGAGAAATGCTGGCTTGCAGCCAAGCGTTTATGCTAGGCTGCAGGCCAGCATTTCTCACTCCCACGGTAAATAGTTGTCCACGTTACCCTTGTTGCCATTTATATTTTCTTCAGATTTATACGTCACAGCGGCAGCGAATCGAGAACAGTAAGACACTTACGAGGGTGTCACAGAACGAAGCGCTGTGGGATGCGACATCGTCAAGCTAAGCGAAGATGTAGGCTATGCACCGCACGACAACAACATATCTCACCAAATCTTGCCAAATTAAGAAAAAGTGCTGTAATTAGTATTCAGATTAAGCAGCCCACAATATGGCCAGACAATATCTCTAACTTTTACTCCTTTAGAGCACCATGCTGTGAGCCTCGTCACATGTCATCAGCACCATTGCGACGGAAAAATGAGTAAAATTGGCCCAAGCGTTAGCCACTATACACTTACAATCGTGCAAAGGTATAAATCGTGCAAAAGGTACAATCGTGCAAAGGTAACCTGAGTTATACCAGTGATTTGTTTTCTACATTGTGTTAGAGCTTTAGTCACACTTCAGCACTTTTATAACACTCACCTCTAACTGATGTTGGATCCAAATCGCGGCAATTGCTGTGTGAGTGCTTACAGTCATTTAATAATAATAGTAAAACGTGGGTCCGTTGATGTCTCTCATTGTCAGGCGAAATCTAGTCACCTGAAACATTGTTCTCTAGCGGTCTCGTTATCAACACTGTTGCGTGTGCCCTTCTTTCTAGGTTAACCGGAAGAGGAACAGCATCGATCTGGTTCGTTCGATGGCTCTTGTTAAAAAAAACTTATCCATTTCATTCAGTCCAAAATACAACATCAGCAGCCAAAAAGCAGCCATGAATTTTCACACTACCTTTAGTGATAGCACCTCAGCGTGTATTGTGGCTGGAAATCGACGGACTCCTCATGAGAAGTCGTCTTGCTGCACTTCACGACTCCAGAGGTATTTGATTTATCTCACGCTGCTGTGCACTATCTAGCGGAATCAAGATAGTCCGCTGCACCACGGTATACGCGCTTGCATCAAGTACGTCAACGCACTGCCAATCTTGACAAGGTACGGGCAATTCTGCATGCCACTTCCTTCCGTCCCACGGCACTGGCGTCATCTTTCGTCTGCGCCGTCGCAGCAGCCACCCCAGTGCTCAACGATCCTCTCGGGCCTTCTTGAGGCTCCAAGAATAAATAAATACGTCTGCAATTGAGCGACATCATAGGGCTTGGGCAATGGGTGACAAGAACTTCTCCGGTAGCCGATTTTCCACTTCAATGACTTTCGCCAACAGCTCGTCCATCGATTTTTCTGCCTACACACTTTACGGTGAGAAGTCCCATGTATCGCGACCTTTCGCTTCGGCAAGACTTACGACGTTTCGGTCATTTACGACAACACGTTCCTTTTTCTCATACGCTTGAATACCTCGCGCTTTCTGTTTCACCCCAAACTCTTTTTGTGCATGGACGACGTGGATGACCGGAACCACGTCCGACTTGACGTCAAGGGAGTGGTAGTCGGTAATGATTTGCACCAGTTGACCTTGAGCTTTGTGCCACCTGTTGGATCGTGTCAGCTTTCGAGGCCTTTTGAAGTAGCTTTCAATGGCTTTCTGGGCGACCCCCAAGTCCTGGACAAATAGGTCGCATCGTTTCTTCCTGACTGGGGAGGACGGACATAGCGAGATCTTCTTGCAATGCAGGAGACTTTGTCGCGGATTCGTACGACGCCAGACGTTGAGAAACGTCTTCGATCGCACGATACGGATTCAGAGCACTTATAACAGGCACTTCACTGCAAAGATCTGTGATGTTGGAGCGCTTAAGAGCCTGTTTCATGGTCTGTTAATTGCAAGGAGAGGAAGGAGTGGACTGAAGCTTGATGTAGTGTTTGTGGCTGCTACCAAATCTCGGGTCTCAAAGCGTGACATAATATTGTGACGTATTTGGGTGTGTGCACTGAGTTTGGTGCACTAATTTATGCATGAGCAGTACATAAAGCACTTAGCGTCTGTATGGATGACTCATTATTATGCGGTGGACCTGTGAAATAGTAGACCCTGAGCACTGGTTGCATTTGGAGAACGGTGACCAGGATAAGATAGCCAAATGTGCATGACTTTGACTTAAAGGCTGGCCATACTATCGTAATAGATGAAACTGGGACATGCACAGGAGAGCTGTCGTCTTCCGCGCCGTGGTATGTGTTCGATTATGCCAGTGTTGGTGGATGCTCGAAGGAAGTCTGAAGAGTTATAATAAAAAGATTCTGCCTTTTTGCTAGATTTTTTCATAACGCTGGATTGACTTTGCATCAATCCGTCTTGCGTTTCTCATCATTCTGCTCTAGCAATTTCCATAATTCGTTCTTAGCGCTTCCTATCATTCGAAATTGCCGGCCGTTACTTCAACTGCTTCATAGCCTTTTCAGGTGCATTAGTATCATGAGCAATGTTAACTTCTGAAATTTCCTACTCGGCTACGACTTACCTTCCTTGTCAAGGTGTATCAGATTGCGCATCCATACGAGTTGCGTGGGTCAAAAACCTTCACGAGTAAATCAGCGAGCAAAACTAGCTTCGATTTCACGTGTACCGGGGTAGCCCGTTACATGATATTGACACCAAACGGTGTCAACAGGGATACTGTCTAGCATGACAATATCCTACCAATATTATCCAAGATGGATAATATTAAAGGAACATTATCCCCTTTTTTGGATATAATTCATGTGCTGCTCCAAGATTGGTTGATATAAGGCATATCAACCATAGATTACCACGAGTCGCTGCTAGACGCGCGCAATGAGTGGTGAGCAGGTTGTCGTCATATGACGACGTAGTTTAATATAGTTAGATATAGACTGAAGTTATATTGATAGCTTGACTATATTAAATGCAGTTTTCTTTTTTACTCTTTACTCAAGCTAGCTGTTTGAGTAGATTAGCTTCCCTCTGCACGTACTAGATTACTTAAAGTTTCGTTGCAACCCAAACAAAAGGGTGCCCCGTTACACCTGGTAGAACTTCGTAGTCCGTCCAACGACTACTTAGTGTCCGTTCTACATGAACATGTTGAACGTTGAAGACGACAGATATCACGTCAAAAGTCAAGGCTACTTTCATCTGAGTGACTTAGAATGGGAGGTAGTCGGCCGCATGAGTGTGCTCATGGGAAAGCCCGCCATTAGTGGCATGTTGGAGTCTCTAAGCAGAGACCAGCAACATGCTGCTATCAACAAGTTCCTACAAGGGGAACTTGCCGTCGAACGACAGAAGATAGCCTTGCTACAGCAGCAAGGCTCTCATCAGTCAATGGTCGGACCGACGCACATGCGTCAACCCGAAACCATGAATATTGATATCTGAAGGTACAAAGAAACCGATGAAGATTCCCTTTTGAGATGGTTCGTCGAGTAAGACGATGCCATCAGGTCCCATCACATCGAGGGTGACGAGATGCAAGTCATCTTCGCCCTGTAAAATTTGACAGGACGAGCAAAGACTTGGGCCTTATGGCTCAAGTTTCACGACCCAAACTTGTTTGAGTCGTTGGAGATCTTGAAGTCTCGGCTTAAAGAGACGTTTGAGCCGCCAAGAGCCGAGTTCAGAGCACGCTCTGCACTCTTGAGGCTCAAGCAAGTTAAGCGTGACGTGCACGCTCACGCACAACGCCTCGCTACCTTGCGAGTAGCGTTACAAAGCCCTGTTGATGAGCATACGCTCATCAACGTGTTCATCTACGGTCTTGTAGATGGACCGGTGAAGGCCTACATGTTCCAAGAGAACTTCCATACCCTGGAAAAGGCGATAGCGTGTGCGAAACAAGAAGACTTCAGCCTGAGACAGTCTCAGGCTAACTCGTCAAACTATCGTCCGACGAGACGACGGGAAACAGCAGGTCCCGAACCGATGGACCTCTGTTACATCGAGATCAAGAACTCTCGCTCTCTGAGTTACAAGCGAACGGCAAGATGTCATCGCTGTCAGGAGATTGGACACTACACTCATGAGTGCAGTGTCTTAAGCACCGCATCACGTCCGAAAACAGGACGTGATGACCGCCGTTGGCAAAGGAAGGGTCCAAGGCGTGGGTCCGACCATGTCTCGAAGCCGCGACAGCAAGTCGGACCGCCAAAAAAGGTCATGTTCAGTAGGGGCGGAGAACCCTGCTGGTTCAGCAGCGTCAAGAGGGTTTGCAGAAAGCTTGGCGAAGACTGCTCCCAACACGTAGTCTCTGTGTGTTACTGCTCTAAGTGATGAGGAGTCTCATATCACTTTGAAGATCGAAGTGACAAGTGGAATGTCATTTCGCGTCCTAGCTGACTGTGGTGCGCCGAACAGTTTCATTCGACGCCAGTCGCTAGAGGATAGTAGGCTCAACTATGTTGAGCGAGAGTTCCCTCCAACGAGGATGACGGTGTGCCTTGCTACAGGCGCATCCGTAACAGTGGACAAACGTGTAGTGGGAATCCACTACACGCTAGAAGGAAAGCAGTACGATGATGAATTCATCGTACTAGATTTGGGTACAATTTTGATGTCATCCTCGGTCTTTCATGGCTTTGAAAATACCAGCCATGGGTTATCTGGCAGCATCGATCCGTGAAGATGCCTGCCGTTTGTTTATCAGATGGCCATTTGATGAAAGTTTTGGAGCGTCCACAAGCGTGTGGATGTACTACGAGTGAGTGCGATGGCCTCACTTGTGGTACGGTCTTTAGTACAACTGCACAAGATCACAGTATAGAAGGCCACTACATTGTGGAACCAGCTTCCGGCACCTGTGTAGAGACACAGGCTGCGCCAAAGGTTCACCACTCGAAGAGATCGAGTGGACTGGAACACGGATGCACACCAAGAAGGGTGCATCCAATTAGAGAAATTGGTGTTGTTCAGGCTGGACAACGCGTTAAAGCGAGATCGACTATCAGAGAGTCAATCGTAGAGCAAGCCCGATCGACTGAAAGAGAGTCGATCGAACAGGACGTGACTGTGGTAGTACACCCACAGTCAGTACATGTATTGTAAGAACGTTTTAGCGTTCCTGATAGCAATAACTCCCGAGAGAGGAATGTTGAGGGTTTGGATCCGCAACCACCTGCGGATGTGTTTTCCCAGGAAATCGCCGAGACAGTGAATATCTTGGTGAATGACGGATCAAGCGTAGGTGCGTATACACTTGATTCTGGTTACAACTCCGAAGTCAGCTTTGGAGGTAGTCAATTTGTCAACGCTAGAATCTAAACGATTCTTGCGAGATCTGCTTAGTGACAAGATCAAGCAGATCTGCGTGCTCGTCACAGAGGACGAGTACGTCGCCGATATTCAGTCGGCACAAGTGTTTACTGAGAACGAACGAGTTTTTCAGCAGATCATCGATGGACGAGAGTGTCCTCGGTGAAAAGACCCGGATTGAGCGATACACGTATCAATCTTGAGAATTTTGAAGACAAATTCTTTGTATAAGGTTTTAGTCGAAAGCCGGGGATGTTTCCCCTGAATCCGTGCCATTCGAGCTGCCCAAAAACAAAGGAACTCGGCATGAGATCGAATAGAAACCTGGTTCGAAATACTGTGTCATGAAGCAGTGGCCACTGCCTCGTTAACAGGTAACAGCGATCGACAAATTCTTTGCCAATCGATTAGCGGCTAGTCATGTGAGGTAATCCACATCTTCACACAGCTCATCGACCTTCTTTGTGCGAAAGTCCGCAGGAGGGTGGCGGATAGTGCACGCGTTCAACAAATTGAACGCTGCAACGGTACCGTCTCAGACGCCGATACCGAGGAAGGACGTCACTATAGATGGTATGGCAAAAGTACCATCTTTTCGTCCGTGGATCGGATGGATGTATTCTATCAGATCCTCATGCGTGAACGGGGCATCCCGTACACTGCAGTGAGCACTCCCAGTGGTATGCTCTGGGAGTGGCTTGTGATGCCACATGGGCTAAGTAACGCCCCTGCAACATTTAACAGAGATGTCAAAAATCTGTTGCGATAGGTGCGAGATTTCGCACTGAGTTACTTTGACAATGTCTTTGTCCACCGCAGAGCTATGGATGAAAATACGGACGTGGGGGTCCATAGAATCCACGTCCGGAAGGTTCTTGTGCTTATGCGAGAGCATAAGTTGTTCGCGAACCTCAGGAAGTGTATATTCGCAGCGAACGTAATACCACTTCTTGGCTGCATCGTGGGTAAAAACGGTGTACGCCCTGATCCGGAAACGATCAAGGCGATTAGCGACTGGCCTGTGACAGTCGACGTCAAGGGACTTCGAAAGTTCCTCGGCCTGGCGGCGTAGTTGCACAAGTACTCGCGCAATTACACCGAGACGACTGTACATCTCACTCGTCTGCTAAAGAGACACGAGAGGTAGTCATGGAGTGCTGAGTGTCAGCACTCCTTCGAAGATATCAACAAAAGCTTGGTGCAATCGCCTGTGTTGGCAATTGCAGGTCAGGATAGGACATTTCATGTGGTCTGTGACGCCAGGAATTTTGCAATCGGCTGCGCGTTAATGCAGCACGACTCAGACGGCGACGAGTGCTTGCAGCTGACACGAAATTATCCGGTTCATGACAAGGGACTCCTTGCCATGAAATAGGCACTGGCCAAGTTTCGGGTATATCTCTTAGGAGATAGGCCCTTCATCGTTTATACCGACCATGCGTTGTTACTCACGGCCGTGAACAGTTTATACCCCTCGCAACAAATGGCAAGGTGGCTGTCTTTCTTCGCATAGTACAACTTCTCCGTCGAGTATAAAACAGGACGACTTAATGTCGTCTCTAATGCTCTTTCGCGCCGGCCCGATTTCAAGCCGACTGCTACCAGTAGGGGTGATTCCACTGTCGCGACACTAACAGTGAGTGTTCCGTCGTCGACTCTGCCCGATGACGTGCGACAAGCATAAGCAGAAGATGAGCCTCTTCTGTGGTTGATGGATTACGTATCCAATCCGTGTAGTCAAGCTTTGAAAAGCTTGTCGTCTCAATACCGCTCTTCAACCGAACGGTATTCTGTCCGTGATGGACTGCTGTACTATACAGCAGTCAACGGCGACACACCTCGTGTATTCGTTCCGTCTCATAATGATTTGCGATTGCGCATCATTTATGAGTGTCACGATGCCCCAACAAGTGGACATCGCGGTAGAGAAAAAGACTTACCTCATGGTGAGTCGTGACTTCTACTGGCCCCGCCAGTATGAGTTTGTGCGGAAATACATTCGCGCTTGCAAAGTTTGTCAACTGATGAAGCCTAGTCCTTCATCCCGTGCACCCTTGCAGCCTCCACCTATTCCGGCAGAGTGCTGGCGGTCCGTATCGATGGACTTCTTCTCTTTGGGTTTTCCAAAGACGTTCACAAGAATACTGGTATTCTTGTGTTTCTTGACCGATTCAGCAAGACGGTCCATCTTGTTGCTGTACTGGAGTCAATCACAGCCCAGGGCTGTGCTCGTGTCTTCTTCGGTACTATCTTTCGACTTCACCGGTTACCACGTAAACTCGTGTCTAAGAGGGACCCCCGCTTTACGGCGGAGTTCTGGCAATCCGTGTTCCGTTCACTTGGAACACGTTTGACGATGTCAACTTCTGACCATCCTAAAGTAGATAGTCAGACGGAACGCGTCAACCGCGTACTCGAAGAGATACTTCGATGGTACGTCCACTCGTTTGCGAGTTGGAGTGAATTCTTGCCGATGGCGGAATTCGCCATCAGCAGATCGGTGCATGCATCTAGCATATAACCGGTGAAGTCGAAAGATAGTATCGAAGAAGACACGAGCACAGCCCTGGGCTGTGATTGACTCCGGTACAGCAACAAGATGGACCGTCTTGCTGAATCGGTCAAGAAACACAAGAATACCAGTATTCTTGTGAACGTCTTTGGAAAACCCAAAGAGAAGAAGTCCATCGATACGGACTGCCAGCACTCTGCCGGAATAGGTGGAGGCTGCAAGGGTGCACGGGATGAAGGACTACGTTCTTCGTGAATGGCCTATTTCATCCACGTTTACCCACCTTCTTAGAGTGTGAATCTAGTTTAGGGGGCGGACTCGCTTGAACGAAAACCGGTCTGGTTTTTTCTCATCACACATCGACAATGGTGTCGGCGTAATGGATGCCGATGTCGATCACATCGACATCGATGATGATGATGGTGACGACGATGCTGGTATATTCAGCATCGCCAATGACTGCCAAAATGAGGACGATTACGCCCTCACTGGACACGACAACGTCCTTTTAGCAGTGTACACAAAGCGCACTGCTGTAAACAAGGATGAATCAGCAGAGGAATTTCTGATGACTCGCGAAGAGGTTGTCCGCTTCGCTCAAGACTATGCTGCAGATGCAATGGATAAACAGAAAATTAACGCGGACAAGCATGGAAGAGCAAGTGTTCTTTCACTGAATGGAAAAACCTAGTTTTACTGTCAACATAAATCTACCAAAACAAGCAGTGACAAACGTGATCAGCAGCAAAATGCTGCCCCAGTACATCGGTCCATTTCGTGTATTGCGCCGCATGGGCAACTCATAAAGATCGAACTGCCTCTTGGGATGCGTACGCATCCTATGTTTTACGTTTAAGGTCTTTGCCCTTACTATCAGTACGAGCCCGTTTCGAGAGGCGAAGGAACCTCCACGGTCATAAGCAGAGGACACCTTCGAGTGGTCCCGTTTCTACGAGCCAGTCTGGTTGACTAGCAAAGCAACCTGCTCACACAGTTGAGCGATGTCCTGACGAGTGCAGCCAGCTCATCACGAAGGGAACGAGTCGAACATTCGTTCTCCAGTTGCATGAGCTCAAACGCTGGCACGATCGTTCAAACGATCGTGCGCTAAGGATTTGCAAATATCACTAACAAGGTCATGGAGCTCATAACGCCAAGTCCGTTCATGAGCCGAGTCGTCGTGTAACTGATCGATTACACGGTTCAGTTCCTGAACATCAAGCTGATACGACCCCCGAGACGGTTCAGGTAGTCAAAACTTTCTGGTGGAGCGTATTTTGAACTACCGCGATGTGAATGGCATCCGGAAGAGTTACCTCGTCCGCTGGCGTGGCTATCCATCGGCCGGGGACAGCTGGAAGCCTCGTGCCCAGCTAATTGTTGATGTCCTGGGTCTCTTTGAGCAGTTTGACGAAACCCACCCGCTGCGTTCGAAGAAGGGCCGTCGGAGAACGACCTCCCCAAACGCAAGTACAGGGATTGCAGAGTTTTAAACCCTTCGGCCATCTCGTAAGAGATCGCGCCCTCCATTAGGGATCATTAGGAAGGTAGGCCTCCCCTAGGGGCATGATTCGAGTTGTCCAGGCAACTTGGACTCGAGTGACCCCAGAAAGACAGGGTAACCCCTGCCTCTCTTGACAGTCGGTCCAATTGTATCGTACACCGACTGGGTTGCGCTATTCAAACCTGATGTAATCTGAATCTAGTTTACCGAGCCAGGCATCATGGCCAATGCACGTCAATGTTATGGATGAAGACATTCCATCCCTGCACCAAGGCCTTACCGTCTCGAGCACAGTTGTCATTGTACCATCGATGCTTGAAAAACACATCAGTGAAGAATTCTTCCTCAGCACGGAAAGTTTCCGTGCTGGAATTAGGAGGATAGATTCTCCTACAGTCGAACAACGGGATTCGATCCCGTTTCGGTGGTCATTCCGGCCACTCGATCTAACTCTTTGGATGATGGCATCCAAGGAGAATCCACTTGAGGAGCATGGCGAAGGACATTGCGGTCCCTGTACTCTTGAGTGGTGTCACATGAGCACTGGAACCAGTGGCAGCTCAATCCCTCGAGGCAGTTCTTTCGTGTTGACGTAGGGTCGTCACCACCCTCACTACGCGTCCTTTTGTAATATGGACGTGAGTGAGACGGGGATTCGTCCGACGAATCGCTCGGTCCGAAGATGTCAGACATGATGCCACCACGTTCCCCAGAGCCAGACAACCTGGCTCTTGCAGTGTCCGCCCCGGATAATACGGAGGAGGCAGGCGCCACCTTCGAGTCGGATGCATCATCCGACTCGCCAGAATAGATGAGCCTATTTCAAACTCATCCACGTTGCGAGTCGCGACACCCGCTGCAGACGCAGCGGATGCATCTGTAGCACGTGGTGACTCACCACGTGGAATTTTCGCAACAGGCACTTCCTGTTGCTCGCTTGCGACACAGGCGAAGAATCGCCTGTTGCTGAAGCAAGGGAAGTACTCTCTTCGGCTGCACGCATGCGTGCAACCTCCTTTCTGGCTGCTTCGGCGGCACACCGCATGGACTTTGACACCATGCGATGAATTGGAAAATGAGTTGGAGTTTGTACAACAAATGCTCCCCTTCCTAGAGTGGTCTAACGGTGATTACCCCTGTCCCAATCAATTCAATTCAATCAACGGGTGATTGATGGTTAAGGGGGTGATGTAGCGGGGTAGCCCGTCACATGATATTGACACCGAATGGTGTCAATAGGGAGGTTGTATAGCGTGACTATTCCCTGCCAATTTTACCCGAGATAGGTAACATCGAAGAAATATTATACCCTTGTGTAGGAAGATATTCACGTGCTGCTCAAAGATTGGTTGATAAAAGACACATCAACCAAGGTTACCACCAATCGCTGCTAGACGCGTGTAATGAGTGGTGAGCAGGTTGTCGTCATACGAAATGTAGATTAACATAGTTAAATAAAGACTAAAGTTATATTGATAGCTTAACTATATTAATACAGTTCTCTTTTCACCCTTTACTCAAACTAGCTGTTCGAGTAGATTAGCTTCCTCTGCACGTACTAGTGTACGTGACGTTTCGTGTCATCCCAAACCAAGGGTGGCCCGTTACAATTATCGTCTTCACGCCCGCTAGTGAAATGTAGACATCCTCTGCAGGCGGTGCAAGCATTGTCTTTGTTTCTATCCAAGTTCAATAGCGCAATGTTCCTGGTCACACCCTTCTCTGTTTAAATGTCGCAGTGCTGTTTTATTTGGTAATCTAGATTTTATGCATTTACGCTACAATTTGTGGCAAATTTTATATTTACACAGTTTGGGTGGGTTTGTTTGCATCGAAGGGTGGGTGTCGCACATTCTACTTCCAAAAAAACTTTTCAATTCCCTAGCATTAGCTTTTGCGAGTTCGGCATTCACTTTGCGCAGTCACAAATAGCTTCCCCCGTGGGGCTCGCAATCACTCTAATTTTATCTAGTGTTCGTTTACACGAAACAATGGACGAAGCCACTATTACAGCGCCTTCTGTTAGCGCCACAGCCGCTCTATCATTCACGACTGATATGGATGAAGAATCCAAGAAGCTGATGGACGGCGTAAGTGCGTGCGTGTTTTTACCGCACGTCATAAATTGACGCTATATCATCGTGATAAGGGAATTCTATTCTAACGCTCTAACGCTAAAACGTGTAGGAACGGTCGTGTATTTTCGAAGTGCGCATTGAGCAAGCCGATCTTTGTCGTCAACGGGGCTCGACACAGTTCCAGGCTGGAAATACAGACGAGGCCGTCAAGTGGTACGAACGTGCTCTTTATCACGTGGACTTTGATGAGGGAACGTGGCATTTTGAGGTGCGGTAAAAAAGATAACGATAACATGACCAGTTAGAGATCTGTAAAATAGAGTCAGAGGCTAACGTTATCGCTTTTGTGAATTGTTCGTTGTGCCCTATACAGTTTACTAACAAGAATCGAGCCGATGTGAACGTGGTACGGCTGCCAGTGTACTTGAATCTTGCAGCTTGTTATTTGCTGCAAGGAGCGCCAAAAGATGGCGAGCCGGACTTGAAGTTGTTGGCGAAGGTGGTTGAAAACGCGGATTTGGCACTTGCTATTGATCCGAAAAATGATAAAGCACTCTATCGTGGTGGACGTGCGTTATTGCTTACGGGAGATTTAGATAGAGCAAAGGAGAAGCTAACTAGAGCTGCTAAACACCACCCAACGGATGGAAATATCCGTAAAGCCATGATGATGTTGAAGGAAAAAGTGGCAGAAGACAAGAAGGAGGAAAAGGTTCGCTGGGGTGGCAGGCTGCTTGGTAAGGACGAGGAAGTCGAGAGTAAAACTGCTTACAATCAGCGTCCGTTGCAGCTGAAGAAAACTTCCGGAGTCCAGTCACGCGCTGTGGATGTTTGCCGTTGTGCTCATCGGTATCGCCTTGGCTCTGGGTCAACTAAGTTTCGTGGAGTAGCTGAGGTGCTGAAGACGCTAAAAGCGGCGCAACGTCGCTTGACAAATTCATCCGGCTCCTATGGTTGTCAAAAATCGTATATTGTTCGCCATGCCTGAAAAGACTAGCGTCTACAGATACTTGTCAAGTACGTTCGTGCATGTGGAGATGCCTCTCTATGTACTTCTTCGACGTCATGGACTCCTGGTCGTTGTGCACTTGACGTAACGTCTTCGTGCGTCAAGTTCATTCTTTCGAACGATAGATTCGCGCTGCATGGTGCTTATCGTCATAGGTCGCAAACACAGCTGTGCAAAAGCACTGCTGCTCGTTGCATCTTTTCGTCCATCTCTTAACAAGCGTGCGACGAGCCCTGTATGATCAAGAATTTAAACGCACCGAGGGCATCTTACGGCAAACAGCATCCCGATTCTAATGCCGACCTGCATGACCACTCGTCACTTAAGTAGTTGCCACATCACCCCCAATGATCGGAATTTTGAAGATCAACAGGGGGCTGACCAGACGTCTCGTCGATGTGCATCCGAGCTTCCGTATATAGCTGCCGTCCGTGGATGCTGACCAGACGCTCAAAAAATCTCCTGGCCTGCCAACGTATCACGCTGCCAAGGTTGCTGCATTGGCTTGTCTTACAGACCGTACTCGGTCGAACCATCCTGGCATTCGGTCTCGCGCATCTCCAGCTCTTCGGAACTGGACAACGTTATAGATCCGTTCGCATGATCTCGGGTAAATGATTCGGTTGTGGCTTGCTCAACTGCGAGACCATTGTATGTGCTGCGCTTGGTATGTTTATTCCGGTAGCGAGGATCATGTCGATGTATCGACCGACGACGGAAGACGGCTGTTGCATGGCTATTGCTAGCATCTAGTAGTGCTCTACGACGCTTCTCGTAGGCATCCGGATCCAAATGCTTCCAGCGTCGACACAGTTGAGATTTAGTGCGACCACTTAGCTCAGCAGCAAGTCTGGGCCAGAGTCTGGATGAATTGATGCCCCACTCACGCACTCGTGCGAGAATGATATCATCTTCCTGCTTGGTGAATTTACGGAACGACAAGTCCGGGTTCATGCAATTTGTGTATCGGTCTCGAAGCGCTGGCTGCGTTCGTCCAGGCACATGATGGCAAATATCATTCCACGGCACTTGGTCGTGATTGAACTCACTGCCTTTCGGCACGTACGCACGGAGTGCAAGCAGCAGTCTTCGATCTTCGATCAGTGAAAACTTGCCTCGCCGAAGACCTGGAGCAAGCGAGAGCTGCCATCGATGGCGGATCTGTTCGGACACACGGCCATCCAGTAAATCCGCAATCACGTTCCACTTTTCGCCAAACACCGGGACAGCTTCACGTAGTATCTGATCTTCCTCCGGTGTAAAGTTTGACCGTGTGCTACCCGCATTCAGTGCGGTCTGGTACCGAGTAAGACAGTGTGCTGCTGGTCTTCCAGGCACCGGTATGCGCTTTGCAATATCGTGCCACTTATTCACCAGTTTCGGATCTTCTTGTCCCGTAGCTAGTCGTCGAAGAGCTGCGTCTTCTGCTTTTGTCCACGCACCGAGCCGTAACTTGGGCGACTCGTGCAAATCGTACCACAACTTGCACGCAAAGCCCGAGCGTTCGATTGGAAACTTCCTCGACTTGCGTGCCTCTTGCCACGCACGAATACCGTTCCACACTTGCAACGGAATCTCCACGTCCGCTGTGTGTGTCGTGTAAAAGTCCTCGGCAAAGTCAGCAACGACTTTCCGCTCTCGACTCGAGAAAATTGTTGGCACACCTGCTACAAATGACTCGTGACTATGAGCACGGAGAAATTTGGTGTCAGCATTGCATGGCGGCTCCGGTAGACGGCAAAGAGCCGTTCGTTCTGCATCTCCAAGCTCCAGTACCTCCTGATCTCCTTCCTCTTCGTCCTCCTTTATTTGCTTCAGCTTCTTCCACGGTCGTCCCACCTTTCGTTCCTTCTCAACGTCATCAGTAAAGAACGACACGTGGGGACGAATGTACGAACGAGGCACGACACCAGCAAGTTTTTTTTCCTGCGACGTGGCGTCCTGTCATATTGATTCGGTACCGCCTCGTGCGACAATGTACCAGATAATAGCGTGTCCATTGCTCGTTGAGCTCTTCGGAGCGCCATTTGACGGCGAATACATTGCGTTTGGGCGAGTAGTTTCGACTCTTCCTGGACTAGCAACTGCTCTAGAGATTGCAGCTCTGCTACGAGCGCGCGGTTGGCTGCCAGCGCTTCTGTGATGGTGGCAATCGAGTCGGATGGAGCTGGCAGTGCAGTCACGTGCATGTTGTAAAACGACTGGAGGAAAAAGCGAGTAAATGAGTATTTCTGATTTGGTAGTAGCTACAGCTATGAGATGGATACAGCTTGTAAAGTGGCTACAGACGGAGAAACGTTGGCGCGTCAGAATCTGTTTATCTTATTTTTTCTCTGAAAGGAGTGTAGAGTGTGGTGCACGCAAACCTGCCAAACTGACTCGATCAGCGACGTAAGTACGCCTCGCATTCGATTAGCGCACGGGATGTATCGAGGCAACAGCTCCATGATCTGACGAATGGCTACATAGGTACATGTATCCATATCTATGTTTACATGCAAGCAATTAATTGATTCAATACAAGACGAATTGGGTACACGACGGGCAACAAACGAATTGGAATGGACACTTCTTGGAATTACATGATAATATCGTTGTACGAGTCTTACTTGACCGAAATCGTTTACACTGGACTGACTCTACTACAGCGTTTGCAGCACTCGAGATGACAACTCGTGCCTCCTTTATTAAAAAAACTTCGGTTTGTTTGCTCATTGTAATCATGCTCTTGTGTGTCACTTGGTGCTATTCAATAGCATCAACACGTCTATTGTGCCAGCATAGGCGACGAGACCAACAAACAAAATAGTAATAGCAATCCCAGCTAGACGATTACGTTCACCATATGTGAGCATCTCTTGCGCCTCGAGCTTCTGCCTCGGGACTAAATAAACCATTGGTACCAGTGCAAGTAGATTGATCGCACAGTTCACAACGACGAACAACAATACTTGAGTTCGCGTGTCGGAAGTATCTTTTGCAATCACGTCTTCGGCAAAGTCTTTTGTTAGTCCTGCACTCGATGTGCTGATCGCATCGGAGAACGTCGAGATGGCCATGCCAATCAATGTGATATAGGACGATACGAGCCCGGTCGTCGCTCCTTCCAAGCAGTTCTCCGTAATCTCTACAATTGGCAGCAATGTTACCAACAACATTGTTGCGCGCGAGATTCCAATCAGTGAAGAGATCATTATCGTATACCACGTACTGCGAACACTATCGAAAATCGTTGGAAGCGCTACCAGGAGTGTTACACCCACACCAACGAGCAAGCCTCCTACAGCGATGCGGATCCAACTGTAGTTGAACAACGTGAGCCGGAATGCCAAAATCGAAAGGATCGTGACAACCTGCTTGAGGATCTCGCCCACACGCTCGTCATCAGGTGTAACTTTTGCCCAGTACAACACGGCGGCATCAGAAAACTTAAATCGGAATGATGACAGGAACATCGAACAGCACACGAACACGAGCGTGCGCCACACAGCTTCTTGCTGCAAAATACTCCATAGCTGACGCGTAAGTGACAACCTGTCGATTGTATCCACCTTGAGCTGCCGTGGCTCTTCGTCCAGTCGAAACAGTACCGCTGGAATCGGTGTCAAAGTAACAACTGCCATGATCAAAATGACCACTTTCATCGACACCATAGCTTCTGTGGTTCCTGACGTCTCATTGTATCCCAGCATGAAAGCAATCGTAACATTCGCCAACAGCGTTGCCGTCTCCTGTGTGAGCAAATACTGGACAAGTAACATGCCACGTTCGTGAATCGGTTCGCGTTGTGAAAGCTCCACCAACAGAGCAAAGGCAGCAATTGACGCCACGGTGACTCCTAAGCTTGCTGCCACCATCAAGAGCACGTACACTGCTCCTCCATAAAAAGCCCGGACACTGGCGTACGTCAAGTCGGTGTTATCATCGACCAGAGTTACCACAACAAGAGCCATGAGGGCCACGTAGGCAAAAACCCAGCCTCCGAGCATGTACGATTTCCGATGAAAGTTCCAGATCGGGTAGAAATCCGACACGAGACCGATGAAAAAGCTCATGACACCAGGAACCCTGAGAAAGCGACGAGTGGCAGTGCACTGATCACTATTGAGCGCCAGATACATGCACAATAATGGCTGGAAGGCTTCAGCAAGGAACGGAGTCATAAAGCCTGTCACCGCTGCTGAAATCGCGAGTCCACAGTACGGCCGGGAAAAGAGCTCAGCAAGAGCTCCAGCTCGAAGACTCCCGTACAACAAATGATTGAAAAAGCCTGACGGTGGTGCCGTGGCTGCTCGGCGTCTCTCCGATGGTCGAACCATCTCCTGAAGTAACTGAATCGACGGTGGTGCGGAACTGGATCTGCCCACGATAAACAGCTCGGAGATGGAACACTCGCGATCGAAGATCGAGTCGTTCCCCACGTATTTGGTCCGATTCCTGCTCTTGTTCTTGTTCCGGTTCCTGTCATGTCTCGCTTCGTACGCGCTGCTTGTGGTGCCTGTAGTTCCAGCGGTAGCAGCTTGAGAAGCACAGCTGAGACTGAGGACATCGTCGCTATTATCGGTCGGGGTCGTCGAGTAGACGCGGACTTCTCGAGGGACACGGAGGCCGTAGATATCGTCTCCAGCTCCAGATAAAGCTGCAACGCGATCCCAGTCATACGCGCTGCACTCGGCACTGAACGAACCTTCCGAGATGAAGCTGTAGCTCTTGGACGACCGGTCACTTGCCATGGCAAAGCTCGACTGGGTGGTCTAGATGAAGATCGATCTATAGATGAAGTCGGGTCTATTTGGCCGTCTGCCTGCCTGTCTGTCTGTCTGTCTTTAAACTTATCTATCTGTCTGTCTTGATTTAACTTGTCCAACTATCTCTATAGTTTGTTGCAGGCGAAAGTCGGAAAAAGCGCTGCGTCAATTGGTAAAAGTGACCGCGAGGCCGAAGGAAGCAAAAGTCACTCGCGGCTGCTTGTATAAAGGGCGGCACAGGACGTATTGGAATGGTTCAATCGCACGCGATAATGACATGTACAGTAGGGTGGACAGGGACTCGGGCGCAAAGCGAAGTGAGCCAGTTACTATTCCTGGTAAAGGAGGTCGGCAGATAGTCGGTCAGTTAGTCAGTTAACGCTCTTTTGGTCCGACTCGAGGACGAGAGACAGGGACGTCGACATTATGATCTTTGCATTTGTACGGAAGGAAAGAAAAGCAGTAGTACAAGAGCAAAGGACACATTTGCCGTACCACGTTTGCCAAGCTACGAATGACAACAGCAGGACAGGGTTAGTGCCACAAATAAAAAAGAAGTAAAAGGTCCGAGCTTTACAACGTTTTGCCATTGTCCGTGCGCTTCATTCATTTTTAGTCTTTGTCCAGGTTCACAGTGAATTATTGTCCACAGAAGTCCACTTCCGAGCTGCGCTGCGTTTCTCGGAGCCCGTTTCTCAAATAAACGTGATGATGAGTGTACGTGTGTTTTCCTCCGGTGATTTCTTTCGCTGGCAGGAGGTAGGTAACTCCGCGCTTCCCGTAACTCCGCGCTTCGTTTATGTTATACGGACATGTCGCGGTAAGACGGTTTCAGGGCGCAGGACACGTCGCGTGGTCATGGTCTCCTTCTGCACAACATTAGGAGCAAATACTGCGACATGAGGCTGAAAAAAATGTCTCGAAGGCATTCGACTCACTCAGCCGTTGTTTATTCGCAACAGTGGCGCGTGTAACGCTGACTACAGAAGGTCGTGCCGGAGGATTCGCCAAAATTGTAACATCCCATGAACGCTTTGCAATGGAGCCGATCACTTGACAATGATGTCGATGATGAACCGAGTCGTATCGGACCTTGTTACTGCAAAATAAATCCGCAGTCTTGCCTGACCTTGTTACTTAAGGGAACGCGTTGTTGTCCTGGAGTCTCAACAGGCTGTGTCAATTAGAGCTAGCGGAGGCGGATGTTTCATCAGAGCTCACTAATGACCGACCTTATTTGATCGCTTCTAACCTAGTATAGGACAGCAGCTGACAGCAATTTTATGCACAAACTTAGCTATACCTATAAAGGTCCCTTCAAATTGTACTATTGGGCAATTGCCACCTCGCAGCATGGCTGGCCTCGTGGAGAAGCTCGTGAAGCTCGTCGGACGGTGCGTAGCTCCTTTTTGTACCGTCCTCCATCGCCTCGCATCTCATATTTCGATCCCCTCGCTCTCTCTCTCCCGCTTTTGTCTATACAGCGCTTTCTACTCGGACGAGCACATTATAGTCCTCGGTGCCTTAATTCGCGAAAAGTTCATGAAGGTTTGTCAGAAGAAAAAGAGGATCATGGTCGACCCTTTTTTTGTCATCATTTTTGTAGCTTTTTGTGTGTGGATGGCTACTTAAAACTACATGTTCTGATACTGTTTACTACAGGATGACGAGATGGGGAACGCTGTCAACCTACAGACGCGTCAAGTGCGCAAGATCATGAACGAACTGCATCAGGACAACCTCGTCTGCGAGTACGGTATACGTAAATATCGATACATGGATACAGGGATAGATCGATATCTCGTTTGTGTCGTATCTGCTGTTGCAAAGTAGTGTCGGACTGACGAGTACTGTTTTGATTGATTGGTAATGGGGCAGGGAAGTGCTGAACGACAAGCGTGTGGGCGGCAGCTCGTCGACGTCGTACTGGTACATTGACTACAAGTACTTTGTTGACGTGGTGCAGTTCCGACTGTACTTGATGCATGAACATCTGAAAGACAGCGAGCAGCTCGAGCTCGAGCGCCAGACTTTTCAGTGCAGTGACCCCGAATGTGGACGGGAATACACGGCGCTTGAAGCGCAGCTATTGCTCATGCCGGGACAGTTTCAATTCCGCTGTGGCCATTGTAACGAGCTGCTGCTTGAATGTGACAACAACGATCGGCTCTTGCGGATTCAGAACTTGCAGCGCAAGTTTAAGGATCAGATGAACAAGCAGAACGGAATGCATGAAGGCATTTACGAAGTCCTTCGGCGCATCGGTGACTTTGTGAAAGAAGGCCATGCGCTCCCGAATAACTTGCCAAGTGACAATCGGGCTGCTGGATTAGGTGGGAACAACGGTCGTGCTGCGAATGGCACGAGTGGAGGTGGTGGTGGACGTAGTGGTGCTAGCGGTGGAGGAGGCGGTAATCGTGCTGACGATCCGAAAAGCCAGTCCTACTTGTATCCATATGGTGCACGAGACCAGGAGATCGTCGTCGACATTGTTGGCAATGACCAGGCAGATGACGAGTATTTAACGAACAGAGATCGGAAAGAGGACAAAGAGGCTGCGAATCAGAATGTTGCTGCTCCTCGAGCATTACCCGAGTTCTTGCTCGGCAGTTCAATTAGTGGCCATATGGTCGCTAAGCACGTGCAGTCTGCTGCTGTGGTTGCAGAAGAGAAGACTGGCGTCGTGAATAATGGCATTCAAGGCGTGGACAATCTTACTCAGAGCGAAATGACCGAGGAACAGCGGCAGGAAGCGTTCAAGCGTGCGTACATGGCAGAGCTAGAGCGCTACAACGAAGAGAACCAGGAAGGCGAAGTGCAGGTTGAGGTTGACAAGCAGGGTTGGGATGCTGAGATGAACAGTGATGTGGATGAAGAGGAGCTAGAAGACGTTGAGTGGGAGTGGTGCACCGACGACGAGGGTGGTAGCACGGATATCGAGGTCACTGTGAACGGCCAACGCAAGCGATTAGATGGCGTGGACGACGAGGATCTGCTTTGCATGACGGAAGAAGAGTTTTTGGTGAGCAGGTTTTTGTTGTGTATCGGAAGGTCCGATGGGCTGTGGATTCGGATCGCCTTAATGATGCTTTTGTTTGTTGTGCTTATAGAGCTGCTACCGGATGTGCTTGGCTGAGAACGGTGAGTCTCGTCAATGAGCGATCGAAGTATGTACAGTCATCACACAAAGCACTGCGAAGTGAGGATTGATCCGTCAGTAGATGGATTGCTAGAAAGAAGGACAACAAGTGGCACGCTAAATTGTTGGTGACAGGATTCGCGTCGTCGTCGAAGACTCCTCTGTAGTCCTCGTCATAGACGAAACGAAATGTCGCCGTGCAAGTTTATGAACCGAGATGTTTATTTGTTGTAGACGTGTTTCGGTCTTCTCCATGCCAAGCTGACCGTGCTTTCGCACGACACATATCGTCGAATCGGCGCAGTACACTCAGGATCATTGAACACAAACGTTTTTGTACACGTGCATCGTCCTGTGCCTCCCCACCTCATTGTTTCCGACCTTGGCGGTAGATGCAGCTTGCCACGCTTGACAGGTCTATCACCGGCGGTAAAGATGCAAAATGAAAAAGACGCAAGCGGGTTGAACATCGATGGAAAGTCAAGATCCAACAGCAGTTAGTCGCCTTCGGTACACACATGAAAAGCCGGTCGCTTTATCATCCAGCAGCAGTTCAGCATCATACTTCGTCAACATTGCCATCGTGGTCGCGTATGCCTTTTGGGAATGAGCACGAAGAATTTGCACTGCACAATGGCTAGCTTCTTGGAGCTTAGTACATGTAGCTGGACGAACGGCGTGTTTGCAACAACGACATTGACTGTTCACGAACTGGCGATGATCTTACATCGACACATTCAGCCTGTTTTCAAGCCGATTGCAATGGAGTTGGCCATTGGTGGTGGAGCGCGGTCTCTTTTTGGTGGTGGAGCGCGGTCTCTACGCCATCGTCCAACAGTATCAGATCAAGGGCTTCTGAGTAATTTGCTGTAACACAAACGCTTGCGAGGAGATCTAGCATCTTTTTGACTGTGTGTGTCACGATGGCAGCTGTCCACGTCAGAAGTCGAATCGGTAACACCTGGATAAAGGCCATCTGTTTTACCGAGAGCTCATCAATTCGTACCAAAGAGACCATGCCAGCGATCACCAGGTCTGAGCGTCACGCTGCTGTTCATTCAGCTAGGAAGAAAAAATTTGCTAAACGCGAAGAATTGGGCAGCCACAATCATTTTGTGGCACAATGGACTCGTCTTGAGGTGCTGTGTTGATCAGACATTTGCATCCAGCCGAGAAGGAACACCATCAGCAACTTGACGTTGTATCGAGCATGCTAAGGCTCGTCGTATAAGGGGTCATGTAAAAGGCTTATGCTGCCTTCTGGCAGGACTTGCCATTTGCAACTCTACGGTTGGGCGAATACAAAAGCACCAGTCACATCAGCAAAATGACGCCATGACGTCGGCCGAATCATATCTATCAACAGGTGGTCCGTAATCTCCAGGACAACGATAAAGTGATCGTCTCACTATCCCCGTGGCTCTCCATCATAACAAGCGAAAGCCGACATCATTGTTTGGCGTCGAGCGCAAATTGGCACTTGCACGATAGCACCTCTCGACTAGGCAACTACCACAATGTGCTCCACAAATCGATCATGGCCGCACTAGTAGTTGCCTCTTATCCGTGCATCGCACAGGCACAAGCTCATTACGCAATCACGGCAGACTTGAAAGACAAGTCTGAAAACCAATCACGTTTGTGCCAACTCGAGAAACTCCCGATAATTGACTAGCAAATGCTGACGACGACCCCGGCACTGGCAGCGATAGGTGAGACGACCGTCATCGGTCAAAACTTTCCATGTAAAAATACGAGCGATGACAAATCCATGAGAGTCTCCGTAGATACTGCCTCAGCTCATTCACAGATCAACACCGACAGCAGCACGAGTGAGTATCACAGCGTCATCCTAGAGCTCTTGTTGTCTCCCCGATCACAAAAGCAGCATACATCCAAGCCACACATGTTCTCGCGAGAACGACACAACTGCAGTTGCCACAGTCTCAACATCCTCAATACACCTTCACAGTGACCGCCAACCTGCATCGCCTGCCACCCACTTTCTCTTCTTCTGCTCCACTCTCCGACTCCCTTTCATCTACTCCAGCACAAACGTGGCTCTCAATCGTTCCGACATCTTCAGTGACTCAAATGTCCGCATCAAGTCGGAATTTCCCGTCACACGCACCTCCTCGAGCGTCTCGAGCGTCTCGAGCTGCTCCACTGGCAGCGTCTTGAGTTTATTATAACGGACGTCCAGCACCTGTAGCTGCGTGAGGTTGGCCACGTCTGTCGACAGCATCGTCAGATTGTTCTGTCGCATGTCCAGCCACTCGAGGCGCTGCAGTTTGTACACGGCATCAGGCAGCGCCCGAAGCCGGTTACGCGAGAGATCGAGACGCTGCAGCATTGGGACGCGCTCGAGAGCGAGCGCTAAGCGGCAGGCACAGGCGTCGCCTACGTGTTCACACAGAAGCTGGCGGCAGATCAAGTCTTCGGAAGCCTGAAGATCTAGCGACAAGACGCGAGCACCGAAGCGAGCGACATCACGCAGAGAAGAGGCCGAGATCGGGTCGGGAGTTAAAGAGGCGAAGCGGCGCTGGGCGAGCAGGCGCAGCGGTGAGAGTGCTCGAGGTGGCATCCTGATGTGCAGGTTGGTTGGCTGAGACGTTGTTTGAAAGGGTACTGAGAGAGGAATTTGATGTACTGATATACGAGAAGATAGAGGAGGGGGGCTTGGTGGTTCTGTTTTGAGCAGTGTAACTTGGTCCTGAAAGGATACGGTGGAAGTTCACTTTTAGCATTTTCTCACGTCTGAAAATGTACGAGGAGTGCTGAACTTTTGTATCGCAAGAGAAGGAGAATACATTGTGGGGGTCCGTAAAATGCCTGGTCGTTTTTGTAAAATATCCGCATTCAGATGCGACAAAATTAGTGTCTCTTTTCTGGATGTATGCATCCCTCTTTCTCCACAGGTCAGACAGTGATACTGCACCTTTTTCGTTTCCCTGTATTCTGTCACCCTCCATCCACCTCGGATATACCCTTTTCATCACCTAAGTTACATGGCTGACACGAATGAACACATCACTTCTGTGTTACCAGGATCCCTCCACGAAAACGGCAGCGCAACAAGTGATGGGCTCACCTTCGAGCTGGATGCCACAAAAGGAACTTCCATCAGGAGGATATGAAAGGGTGGCAGCTGCCTACGGTGTGGCTTTTGCCTGCGCGCGGCGAAATGGATTTGCCTTGCGTAACAAATGGAAGAACGATTATCGAGTATGTATGGAATGCATACAGGGGGAGGTTTCAACCACAGCCTTCGACCATCACCAACAGGCAGACGAAAGCTGCTTTTAGAGTCGACTACCCATACAAGATTACAATTCGGTATGAACAAGCAGCGACAACAAGATACCAATGTCAAGACATAAAAGAGGCATGTCTGGGTCATACGCTCCGGGCATTATGGAAGTCTCAGCCGCGTTTGGTACCGATAGCAACTACTACATATACAAGCATAAGTATCATTGCCTGGGGATATTGCTCATTTGTAGCAGGTGTCATTGTCTGCGTGATACCTGTGTTTATAATAGCAACCAGCGCTTGTTGTACGAGGGTTTGCAATTTTTCACATCGTCCGGGCTACATCACGTTGGCACCCTCAAGAGCAAGACCCACTCTATATACGCTTAAGTGACGTGTTCTGTTTGTGCGTGTTTTACATGTGGCCGCTTTCTGTGACTACGAGTAAAATGTCCTGACTAATAAGTAATAAAGGACCTAGTGTGTTTGCATTCGTACAGCAGCCACGACAGGGGGTGGCCATCCTACTAGCATCACCCGGTACAGCTACCTACTAGCCCAATTAGGCTATTACATGTGCTACGGAACGTCAAGCCACGATGACCCTGATGGTGATAGAATATAGAAAAGGAAAAAGGTGCACTAGCGCTGTCTGTCCTGTGGAGAGAGAGGGATGCATACACTCAGAAAAGAGACATACTAAGTAATCGTCGAATGCGGGCATTTTTTAAAACGACCGGGCATTTTACGAATCCCTTGCATTGTACTGTTCGTAAAGGTATTATGGCGACTGGTGAAAAATTGGAGTTCGCAACTTGCACTAGCTTAATTCACATGCCCCACATCAGCCTCTAGCCATTTCCGAAACTTTCTCTTCAGTCAAACATCGTCTCGACAAAGTCGATCATCTGGTATGGCGTACTCTCGGCAATGCTCTTCTTTCTCATGGTGCCAATCATCTTGTGGACTGGGCGAAAAGTTTTGTGCGGATTTCGGTACAGCTTGAGAGTCTGGAGTTAAAAAAACTCAGAACCTTGAACTCGACCTCTTCAACGCTGAAGACACTTCCCAGTTACCATTTTCGACTGAATCAGCTCTAAGATCGCTCGAGCTTCCACTACGTTGAATCGGGTGCTTCTTTCAGTTCGTAAAGCGTGCTGGCCGCATGAACGTGGTTTTAAGCGTGTGTGTGTCGCGTTGTGTCCAGGAAAAGTGGTCCTTGTTCAAAGAGGCCGCTTTAATCCAATGTAAACGACTGGTAACGCCAAGAGTGCAATTTGTGGAATCACTCAAATATGCCAACGTAAAAACAGTGTATTCAGCATGGTCCTTATTTCTGATGTCCCGCGTATAACATTTACAATCGTATAGTGATCTTCAGTTGATTACTGTCACAATCCCACACTGGTGTTAGCACTTTTTCATCAGCGAAGCAACACACACGCGCCACAGGCGCGTTCTTAATCGAGACACGACATGACTGACTGCGTCAACGACGATATGCGGAACGTCATGCGCGAATGAGTGACTTGCCATTAGAGTACGGTCCAAATGCTCCGATGTAGAGCAGCTATCATGCTGAAAAAGGTGACACAAGCATGAATTGTTTCTTGTATAGGTAGATGGTAAGCAAAGCAGGCGTTCTCGCACGGCTTTCGCATGCATGGCATGAAGCTCTCCGATTTGATCGTCATGTGCGACACGCTACAGTGAAACATGATGAGTCGCATCCGCTGGCGAATACTTAAAGTATTGCGCACAATCCAGTACCGTGTACTCCACCTCAGCAGCACCCAGTGTACACGCTCAATGGCATCTAGACCTGTATGCCACCGGTTCACCTCCTACCACAATTGTGATCCCTGAAACTGATCTCAGTTAGTGCTGCTGTCCAAGCCAGCATCCGGTACGACTTTCAGAGTTACTCTACCTTCTGCACGGTCGTTTACAATTCCTAGATCTCGAGTTGTCTGTAAACAGACAGGCACTCGAATCGTCGTCTTAAAGCGTTGTCGTCCCGGTGTAACGGTGCTTCCTAAAGCTTGTACTGATGACAGTACAGCTACTTATTCTGATGACAGAATAAGGCGGTGCCTCGGAACTTCACGTACACTGGTACGTGCAGAGGAAGACGGTAAGGAGAAGCGAGTACTTGGTCAAAGTAAAAAGTAGAACTGTATTAATAATAGTTAATGTCTGTTAATAAACCACTGTTTATCCTCATCTAACTATGTCTGAATACAAATGTGTATATCAACTATCTGCTCATTACTCATTGCGTGCGTCTGTCGTGGCGCGTCTTCGTTAGTTGACATAATGACCTATATCAACCAATTAGGAACTACTCGTAAGTGCTGCAGAATATTTGTCCTTATGACAATATTCTGGGAATATAACTCTTATAGTTCTATTCTATCAACAATTTCTGATAAATTGTTATGTAACGTTTCACCCCATTACAATGTGCTACGGAACGTCAAGCCACGATGACCCTGATGGTGATAGAATATAGAAAAGGAAAAAGTTGCACTAGCGCTGTCTGTCCTGTGGAGAGAGAGGGATGCATACACTCAGAAAAGAGACATACTAAGTAATCGTCGAATGCGGGCATTTTTTAAAACGACCGGGCATTTTACGAATCCCTTGCATTGTACTGTTCGTAAAGGTATTATGGCGACTGGTGAAAAATTGGAGTTCGCAACTTGCACTAGCTTAATTCACATGCCCCACATCAGCCTCTAGCCATTTCCGAAACTTTCTCTTCAGTCAAACATCGTCTCGACAAAGTCGATCATCTGGTATGGCGTACTCTCGGCAATGCTCGTCTGTCTCAAGGTGCCAATCATCTTGTGGACTGGGCGAAAAGTTTTGTGCAGATTTCGGTACAGCTTGAGAGTCTGGAGTTAAAAAAACTCAGAACCTTGAACTCGACCTCTTCAACGCTGAAGACACTTCCCAGTTACCATTTTCGACTGAATCAGCTCTAAGATCGCTCGAGCTTCCACTACGTTGAATCGGGTGCTTCTTTCAGTTCGTAAAGCGTGCTGGCCGCATGAACGTGGTTTTAAGCGTGTGTGTGTCGCGTTGTGTCCAGGAAAAGTGGTCCTTGTTCAAAGAGGCCGCTTTAATCCAATGTAAACGACTGGTAACGCCAAGAGTGCAATTTGTGGAATCACTCAAATATGCCAACGTAAAAACAGTGTATTCAGCATGGTCCTTATTTCTGATGTCCCGCGTATAACATTTACAATCGTATAGTGATCTTCAGTTGATTACTGTCACAATCCCACACTGGTGTTAGCACTTTTTCATCAGCGAAGCAACACACACGCGCCACAGGCGCGTTCTTAATCGAGACACGACATGACTGACTGCGTCAACGACGATATGCGGAACGTCATGCGCGAATGAGTGACTTGCCATTAGAGTACGGTCCAAATGCTCCGATGTAGAGCAGCTATCATGCTGAAAAAGGTGACACAAGCATGAATTGTTTCTTGTATAGGTAGATGGTAAGCAAAGCAGGCGTTCTCGCACGGCTTTCGCATGCATGGCATGAAGCTCTCCGATTTGATCGTCATGTGCGACACGCTACAGTGAAACATGATGAGTCGCATCCGCTGGCGAATACTTAAAGTATTGCGCACAATCCAGTACCGTGTACTCCACCTCAGCAGCACCCAGTGTACACGCTCAATGGCATCTAGACCTGTATGCCACCGGTTCACCTCCTACCACAATTGTGATCCCTGAAACTGATCTCAGTTAGTGCTGCTGTCCAAGCCAGCATCCGGTACGACTTTCAGAGTTACTCTACCTTCTGCACGGTCGTTTACAACTCCTAGATCTCGAGTTGTCTGTAAACAGACAGGCACTCGAATCGTCGTCTTAAAGCGTTGTCGTCCCGGTGTAACGGTGCTTCCTAAAGCTTGTACTGATGACAGTACAGCTACTTATTCTGATGACAGAATAAGGCGGTGCCTCGGAACTTCACGTACACTGGTACGTGCAGAGGAAGACGGTAAGGAGAAGCGAGTACTTGGTCAAAGTAAAAGTAGAACTGTATTAATAATAGTTAATGTCTGTTAATAAACCACTGTTTATCCTCATCTAACTATGTCTGAATACAAATATGTATATCAACTATCTGCTCATTACTCATTGCGTGCGTCTGTCGTGGCGCGTCTTCGTTAGTTGACATAATGACCTATATCAACCAATTAGGAACTACTCGTAAGTGCTGCAGAATATTTGTCCTTATGACAATATTCTGGGAATATAACTCTTATAGTTCTATTCTATCAACAATTTCTGATAAATTGTTATGTAGCG